GGGACTTCAACTCCCAGAATTCCCCAGCCAGCATTCGCTGGCTGGGGAATTCTGGGAGTTGAAGTCCCGGACATCTTCAAGTTGCCAAGGTTGAGAAACACTGTTATAATGAGAGTGAAGGAGGGTCTCAGGGAAATCCTGCCTTACCACTTGGTCATCATAGGTGGCCCAGACACGAGCTGGCCATGCCCATCCCAGCCCCCCCGAGGTTAAGCACAACCCTGATGTGGCTCTCAATAAAATCAGGAGTTTGACACCCCTGGCATGGCCGTGTGTCTCCATTGGCCACACTGGGCACTGAGTGGGACCTTACCAGTAGGTCTTGCTGCTAGGCTGAAGGTGCAACGTGAAGATGCTGGCGTAACGCCGCTGGGTGCGCAGACCGCCCTCCCGGCCCACCACCAGCAATTCATGCTCCGTCAGCTTGGTGCAAGTATGGCTGCTCAGCCCCACGGGGGTCTCGGATGTCCTGGCTGCCCAGCCTTCCCACTGCTTCTGCTCCACATCGAAGCTGCAGACATCCGAGACCCTGCGAGATCCATCCCACCCACCCACCACACACAGCAAGTGGTCACCCAGCACCACCGCCTGGTGGTGACTGCGTCGGTAGCCGTGTTCCGGAGCAAGCGTGCGCACCGTCTGGACGGCTGGGTCAAAGGCCACCACGTCTCCCAGGGGGGGCTCCTGGGTGTCTTGAGTCTTCAGCCCCCCAAAGATCAGGAACTTTCCTTGCACGACGTTGCAGGAATGGAAACCCCGAGCCAAGAGGTCATTGCGGACCACCGGCTCCCATTCCCAGCGGCTTCCACCCGAGGCGAACATGCTGGTCTTGAGTTGGGACAGGCCGGATCAAACCTGGAGAGGATGAGATGGAAAATGGGTGTCATCACATTGGAGCACAACAACAAACTTCATTAGAAGAATAGCAAGCTTTGGGATAGGACAGTGTTTCCCAAAGTGCGGTACGCCGTGACCCGTCAAAACCGCGGTAGAATAAAGCGCGCCCGACGAAAGCGCGTACGTGACGTCATCAGCAGCGCGTCGAAAAAAATTAAAAATAAATTAAATAAAAATAAAATTAAAGCAAGCCGATTCACA